GTCCTAGATTAAATAAATAAAGTCAAATCAAATCGCACAATCGCATTACATTTAAACATTAGCAAATAGATGCACCTAAATATAATAAATACGAATTCATTTTTTTCAATATTAATTGTTTTGTGATATTATCAATATTCATGCACGGGATATATGAACAGTATAAGTGTACCTACCTATTTTGGTTATTGTATTGTGTATTAATATTATAGTTCATAACTGTATACTATATATTCTCTTTCGCCAAATCTCTTTTCATAATATTATCATTTAGCATGTAGGATTATGAATAAAAATTGATTGTCGACAATCGACTGACCTTATTAAATAATAATAATAATTTCATGTGGTGCAATCGAGGGTCAAAATGGGAGGTGATTCGAGTGTGCCCGTCACACCCGCTCGCGCGCCACCGGTGTACGAGTGTTGTGGTGCTGTGGTGCCGCGGCGGTCACAGGTGAGACGACGGACATCGGTAAGTGTATAGGTATAATCCATTGTTAATAATTGTTGGCAGGTGGCGTCTTATCGACGGCGGTTATATGTCTGCCGGTGGAGGTACATAATAACATCTATCTATGTGTATAATAATAATAGTGTTTTTTTATACGATAATACAAAAACGGCAATAATAAATGCACGGTTCGGACGTTTGTACGAGTGTAAAAAAACGGCCAGCCGTCGGTCCTTGCCGCTTACTAAATTACTCGCGTTTAAAAACTGCGACGAGATGCCGTTTCGAATTCAATGCCGCAATACGAAATACTACTTTGGCGTAACGGTTTTAAATACAAACGTTACAAACGACAGCGTCATACATGTAGAATTTTTACGTGTCACATATTTTCGTGATTTAATTCTGAATTCTGATATGCTGACTGCTGCTGCATACTGTTGACATTTATAAGGATAACCCTATTGTTCTAATTTAGTAGATAACTACTTTTATATTTAAAATTTAAACTACATGTCTACATAAATATAGTAATTTATTATTAATAATATATACGTGTATACTCGTATACAGTTTTATTGAAAAAAATAAAATAAAATATTACGAATATTTTTATTTAGAACTAAAAGTTACATAATCTTTTTGTAAAGTGATTTAACTTAGTTATTTTTTTTTACGAATAGGTAATAACTATTGTAATATAACTAGTTACTTTTTTCTTCTCATACCTAACTTGGAACAGATTATAGCCCTAGTTATACTAGGGTTCGGGACTTGTTGCACTAAAAATTATTGGAATATGCATGCAAATATGCAGTTATAATCGTTAAAATATGCAGGCAATTTTTTACTTTATTTTTGACGCATGAAACATATTATTGTAATAATTAATAAGTATAGAAATAAAAATCTCAAAAATAGATAGGCAGGTACATAATAAAAATCGTCGATAACAAGGTTGATTACTAGTTGATTTTTCTTTAACTATGGAATCGGTTTTCGCCAAAACGTGAAATAGCACCATAGAAAACGACCACATAGGCCAAATAGTCTGTACATATATAGAGTGATTCATTTATTTGACTACAATTGACAACTTTGTGTTCATAATGTACATACTCTTACTGTAGATACGTTTTAAATGTCCGTAGTCCTTTAATAAAATATACCGAATAATTCTTTTATTGTCACACATATATATTATACGTATTTTGGAAAGTATAAACTTTTATCGGAATGTGTTTTATACAAAATTTAAGAAACAAGCCGCTCTAAAATTTATCATTTATATTATTTTTTGGCACACTAATTTTAAAGGGGTGATATTAGGCGTGTACACAAAAAAAAATTCGGAGGTTCATAAAAAAATTAACAATAATCAATATTACCATTATTATCAATATTTATGAAAAAAACTATAAAATATATATAAATAAATTAAACAATAATTTTCGGGAGGAGGGGGGTTTAACTTTTCCTGTAAACGTGCTTGGGTGAAACGATTACCTACTTTTTATTTTCAAATAACTAATTATAATAAAAATTCCAGAAATATATAGAATATTAGTTAAATTCAATTTTTAATTTCCGTCAATCTGTTGACGAGATATGCTACTTTTAAACACCAAATTGTATTTTAACTAATACTTCATCTGTTTAAGGCACTTTCAATATAGAAAAATGAAAAATACTTAGTCGTTTTCCCAAAAAAAAGGTTGACAAAAAAAAAAAAAAAAAATGGTTATTTAACATTTTAGAACTATTTGTTTCTTAAGTTTTCAAAAAATAAAATTTCTAAAATAGTCAATATTTTTCGAATTAATGAGTGTTTAACGATAAAATAATCACCCGGTAAAATTAATATACTAACTGTAAAAAACATATGAGTTTTTAACAATTCAATTAACTAATAGAAAGGAATTGTTTTAAATTCCTTTAAGATATACTGTGTAAATTAGGAGTGTTTTACAAGCCTAGTAAATGTCTTAATAATGCACCCAGAATCCAAAATATACGATTAGGTGGCTACTATAAATTATATTAACCAAATAACGGTAAATGGTCAATGAAAGAAAGTAAATAAAATATAATGGCCAGTGGCCATACTATTTCATAAACACAATAATTTCTGTATCATTTTTGTCCAGTAATAACTAAATAATCAGTAAATTTTTCTACGTAATAATAATTAATTTGCGAAGTTTTTCATATGTCAATAAAGACTAATAAGTAATTAATTATTATATTTTACTACGCAGAAATAGATAATATAGTTACACAGTATAGATTTAAAAGAAATCGCATATGTATCTAATTATATTATAAATTGTATTTTTAACAAAAATACATTTTTTCCTATCATATATTATCTCGTTTGATATCATATATTAGGTATTTATTATTCCACGTACTTACAGTCTATTATATAAATATTTAATATTGATAATTATCAGAGTGAAACTAATGTATGCCTAAGTCGTAGAATCGTTTATAGCGATGTAATTGAATGAACAGACAAAATCTTGTATTTTTGTAAAATGTACATAATAATATTACATTATTATCTTTATAAATATATAATACATAATGAATAACTGCATCGCGAAATACTGTGTCGTTGTTCCGCTATTATTCAAAACAATGTAAAAAAAATTCTATTATTCGGAAAAGGCAAATAATACAATATTTAAAAGAAAAAAACAGATATGTGTAAAAAGCGTGTAGTGTAACACAAGTATTTTATTTTAAGTGAAAATGAATTTCGAGATTTCGCGTAGTGTTAGCATTTTGATTTAAAAATACATTTATATTTATATTATAACAAAAACATTTTGTAAATGCTATACCGAATATAGGCTTTCTAGTGGGAGTACGATTATTTAGTTTATAAGTTGGTATACCTGGACTTAATGGCGTAATAACCAAAAGTGTATGATGGTGCCACAAAGCTCAAAGGGGATCCCATCATAGTTGTAAATTGGAAGGATATTTTTAACGCGATTTTAAAGGAATTTCATGTACAACGGTTAAAGTTAGGAAGAAGACATTTTGGTGAAGTAGATGGTGTTTGTCAATTAAATACATCTTGTGTAAACAAGATAATTTAAGAATCAATATTATACCAGTCATTGATACAGTAGTTTTTTAATTAGGCAATTCCAAAGTTTAAAAGAGGTAGGTAATTGTACATTTTGATTTTATAAATGTTTTTTCACTAGTTAATGGTATGAAAAAAGATATTTTAAAAGCTTCATATGATTTCATCCATTTTAAAACGTTGATAACAGCTCAGATTTTACTATTCAACTTTTATGTACACAAAATTTAATACATATGAAAAAATATTAAACATCTAGCAATGTTTATTATTTAAAATGATGACCACGTACAGTGAAGTGCTCGTATCATATACTGTCACTGTTCTATCAGTCGAACTTTCATATTCGAAACTTAAATTAGTTAAAAACTATTTAAGAAGTTCAAAAGGGTAAAATCGTTGATCAAATATTGCTTTGTTAAACATCGAAATAGAACGATCTAATAACTAAGATATGGACCAAAATATTTATCAGATTGCTGAAGCAAAAACAAGAAAAGTTAATTAATTTAGTTAAATTATTATATTTAAAATATTATAATATTTAATAACCAATATTATAATTTTAATTTAAAAACTATGAGAAAATTAATATTTATAAAAAGTTTTATTCATTATAGTGAATATTTAATACACATATATTAGATTTGAAAATTAAAAAAAACTACTTATGGTTATGTTTATAAGGAAAGAAATGATGTTGTTTGTTGTAAATAGGCGCATTCCTGAGGGGAGGCGATGGGGGCTGATAATAAATAAAAATGAAGTAGTGCGTTTAATGATAAGTAGTCAGTAGGAATTAAAAAAATATGAATTTATTGCGAATACTTAGATAGTTATAGGTTCCCAGACATACCTTATCATCGGGGCCCTAAGGTCCTAGTTGTGCCACTTCCTGGACTTTGGTTAACTAAGCATTATTTGTTTATTACCCAAAGAAAATTAGGTGTTTTTCCTACAGGATTACGTTTTTGCAGCATCACTATCTCTATAAGTAATTGCTTTTTTTGACCTTGAATTCAATCTTAAAATTTGACCTTGGAAATATTTTTGGGGACATCTTTGAATACACCCAAAATAAACCATATTCTATGGGTCTGTACTTAAAAAAAATATATTTTAAACAGTTAAGTATAAAATTATTAGCTGTAGGATAAAACAAAAAAAAACATTTAGAATGATTTTATAAATATATTTATTTCATACAAATTAATAAATTCAATTAATATTAATTTACTAATGAAAACTGTTAAGTGATTATTTTTTTATTTATTAAATTGACATGAATATTCGATCAATGCCTATTTCGAAAAGAGATCAAAATAATCAATAATCGAAATAATCAATCTTTTTTTTATTCTTGTAGCGTGAGAAACATATTAGGATACCGATTTTTTTTTTTTTGGAGGGGGAGGATAAAGCAAAAATATGTGTATACATACATTTATATTAACGTAATAGCTTTTTAATACCTACTCGTACAAAGTTTGAAAATTCATTTTCAAATTTGGTTTGCGGTTCATTTTTAATAGGTAACACAGCCTTCAATAAATTTCTGTTATCTTTTGGAATCAAATCACCTAAAACAATGTTATAATATTTTATTATATTATTTATTATAAATAGATTTTCCTTGCCATTACTTATAAATATACTACTAATTTATTATTTTAAGAGGAAGTCATATACGGTATTGTAAATTTGAATATAGCGAGATAAATTTATTAGAATGGATTGAATATTGATCTACTATCAACTTAAAGGTAATAATTTTCTTGCATTTATGTTTGATAATATTAGGATAATTTGCTTAAATATTAAATCTAACAACCATGAGCAGTACAGCACAAAATCGATCCACTTGGTTCATTGGCTACATAAGGGTATGGCATACCCCAATGCTTATATGAAAAAATATATAAATATAAAATATTGTGTATATTTATTTATAATTAGTAAATAGGATGACGTTTTAATGTTTTTATTAGTAATCTAAAAAATATCCACCAATACATCCGAGGGAATGAGCGAATTCACTTCTCTTCTTGACGGGATCATCGATTCCTAGATCTACTGTCAACCATCTCTTTCCAAGTATCTGCTTACTTCACTATAATCGATTTATTGTTCCCCGTGCCTCAACATTACACCTTTTATGGGTTTTATAGTTCCTTCTACTGTGCTTTTCGTCTACTAAATGCTGGTCACAAAAGCCCGGTCACTTTACACTTTTTATCCTAGATTTAAGTTATCCCATTGCTGCCACCCTCTCCATATCATATTAGTTAGTCTAAGATCTTCTTGTACCAAATTTCCAGTATTGACGTTATAATTAATATAAATAAAATAAAAATAATATAATAAATTATAGATACACATACATTTATTTTTAAAAGATTAATAATACTAAATAGTATATTATTGTAATTTTTTAAGTATAATGCGATCTTAAAGTCTAAAAACTAGCTAACTTTTTTCAAAATTTAATAAAAATGATTAATGAATGGATCGAGGCCTACCTATAAGCACGGAGCTTGATGCGTTCACATACTTTGCACTGCCCTTTAACCGGCTCTGGGCTCACCCACAAACAGTATCAACTCGTTTTTTTTTTTTTGCTTTTATATAATATTAGATATATTCAAATATACGTACAGCCTTTTGAGTCTTTCATGTTTATTAAAACTTCTACAAAGTAGATTGATGACAAACGGTGGAACTTTATTTGATTTAATTTGTCAAAAAATCTCATGGGATTGGTTTCAGCATCTGTACTTGAAAATGTGTGTACTGTTAAATTTAAGAAGTTGAACGACATCTCATATAATGGACGACAATCTAAACAGATACAAATGATAAAATTACACATTATTAAAAATCAAAATTTTATTACTATTTTAGATACAATTAAACTGATGCTGTAAAACATTTAACGCATTCACATTAGTAATAGTTAATTCTATTTTTATTAGGTAATTATTGTAATAATATATTAATATAAAATATCATGTCCTGATGTACTGACTGGTTTAATAATATCTAGCTAAAACCAATGCAGCTATAAGTAAGAAATTTAGTCAGTAGTTTATGAATTAAAGATTATTCATTACGGAAGAATTTCCAAAAATATAGCTCTAAAAAGGTAAAAAAGAGTAACAATGGAAAACGTTTTTCTTGGTCGGATTTTTTTAAAACTTAGCATACTTTGTTAGTCAATCTATTATATTATTTTCCAATATTCAACCCATAATGTAGTTAAAAAGGGTAAAAAGGGGTTTAAATGGAAAACATTATTTCTTAAAACTACACTACCTCTGAGTATATTATAGGCTATATTTAAGTCAATATTTCTCCAATTAGGATTGTCTCAAAAATAACACAATGTCTTTGAAATATAAGTACAAGAAATAAAATTGTTTTGATTAACATCTGGTTGTAAAGGTTTGGTTGTTCAAATACATAAGCAAGGCCGGGTTCGGACAACTAAATTTACTATAAACATGAATAAAAGATAATTATCCATAAACATCATTTGTATTTTTTGTTATTTTGTGGACAACTTTTCTACCAGAAATTTCGCTCCAATTTACAATGATAGTACTTTTTCTTAAAGAAAATCTGACTGGGAAGGTACTTTAAGGAGATTATTTTTTGATTTTATAAAGAATTTTTATAATAAATGGGAAAACCGGGAAAAACCATGAGAAAAACCGGGAAAAACGGGAAAATAGGTACAATATTAAATACATAATATTAACGAAAATATATAATACATAATGTTATTATTATCCCATAATATGATATATTTATTGTGAACAAAGCAACAATCTTAACTGAACCCCGTTCAGAATTGTTTTTCCTTAGCAATGGTTAATTGTTGAGTAAAGATATATATTATTTATTTGAAAATAAAAAATATATTTATTCGTTTAGAGTATAAGGATTAGGTATTTAAAATTTAAAATATAATATTAAATTAGAGCTTAAATGATTTTATAATGATTCAAAAAGCAAAATTGAAATTCAGTTAAATTTTCCAATAAAGGGTTCATAGTAAATGGACTAGGTATTACTAGGTAATTAATGGACCTGTATATTACTCCTATTTAGTATATTATATTATATAATTCTGCTGCTATTAAAATAAATGCGTACTGTAAAATAAATTATAAGAACTATTCAAATTAGTTATGATTTTGGTAGTTCAAATTTTACCTGCTTCTATTGATTCTATTTTACTACAATCATCTAAATTACATATAATACAAAACAAATGTTAAGTTAAATTCTATCAAAATTTCAATTATAAAATACCTAATAATTTATTTGGGAATCTTTTTATCGGTGAAATTTGTTGATTGTTAAAATATGTGATAATCAACAGGTTTTACAATTTGTATACTACATTATATATGTTTATTTATAATGGTGGATTTACGGGTGGAGGGAGGGGGGAAGTCTCTAAAACAAGTGTTAAAAATCGAACACTGTTAGTTAATAATTTATTAAATAGAAAAATGACTGCATCTGAATTGCGTGTTGAAAAAAAAATGATGTCGATCGATAATCAAGTTGCGTGCGCGTATTTTTTATAAGTTCGAATTGCGTGCCACAGCTTTTTTTCCACAGACACTAGTATTCACTGACCTGTTATTGATTTTAAATTTGATACACTGTAATATGGGTTTTTTCAAGGAATAATACTAGATTAATGAATGATGATTAGAATGGGTATACTGTGAACAATTCAACGATTTATAATTTTTGATAATCAGTCAATAATTAGACATCTTGACATTCAGATGTCAATCTATTTTCAACGATTTCCAATGCTTGCGATAAAAACAAAAACAAAATAGATGTAATGTATAGCAAAAATAAAAATAAATTATCAACTGATACAAATTTCATTTCATTTCACGCTGATTTCGAACAAGCGATATACTAGGAAATTTTTGTTATTTTTTTCAAAGTAGTTCGTAAAAGCTGTCGTTGTCACTTTAACCAGACTACGTGGAGAAAAATTCAATCACTGATTTAAAAACAAATTTTAAAAAGGAATCAGAAATTGTAAAATTTTCAAAGTTATTCTTTGAATTATTTTTTTTAAAATATGAAAAAGTCTGAGAATGTTTTTCAGAAGATCTCATGGCTAAATAATACTAAATAGGTAATCATTGGTTCCATGATTTTTGTAACTTTTTGAAGAAAATTGTATTTTCAGAGATGTAATTTTTCACCGTCAATATGCTTGTGGATCGTTCTATTTGAAACTCAATAATATGTTTTATTTATATCCAAATATTTTTTTCAATTTTTGGAGGGTTTGAAAAATGTACTAACTGAAATTTACATTAAAATGTGTAATGCGAATCAAACATCAACACCACATTTGGCTGTGGAACAATGAGAATATATCCAGTATGTTTATATGTCAGTATGAACATAAAATTATAATCTATTTGGAATATATGTAACGAACCGTTACATGCACCGTATTTTTGCTCCTTAAGTCCCAACCCTTTTTTACTAAATACACACGGGACGCCGTAATTATCAATTATTCGATAACCACCAACACACGATAACGACGCCCGACAGACGTCCGACGTATCGCGAAATCACGTGGCAGCTCGATGATCCACTACCACAAACGGTCGTACCGTATTTCATTACAAATAATTTTAATAAATTTTAACTGTAATTTGTCAAGTATTACAATTTTTTTATTTGTCTTTGAAAGATTTTAACAATTTTATAATATATTACGTAAATTGTATAATTACATACATTCTTTTTGTACCTACGAGTTGTATTTATTATTATTATTATTTTTTCTTGGATTATAGTGCCATTTAGCCCCTAGCAGTTTCTACCAAAGCTCTCTAAACTTCTCAATCCTATGCATCTTCAATACTCGTTCTAACCCTTAATCTCTTTAAGTCATCTTTTATTAGGTCCATCCATCGTTGTAATGGTCTTCCTACAGTTTGTTTTTTATTAGGCTTGTTAACGAGTACCTGTCTAATCAAATAAAATTCTGCAGGCCATATAATGTGACCATTATAATTTTACCATTATAAAATTTCGCAAAAGTTTAAACTGCAATTTTTTGCAATACAATATGTAATAATTAGTTATGTTGAAAAAAACCTTCAACTTAAATTATGATTTTCGCACGCAATTCGGAAACACCAATTAAAATATATTATAATAGTGTATGAAATATATATTTATATATTACTATTTATTATGTTATTTTATTATTTATTTTTTTGTTAATAATTAATAATTATAGCCATATTGTATAGGTAATTTATAGGTTTAGAATTCTGCAATTTCCAAAAATCAAAGCCCAAATAAATCAGTTGTAAAAAATGATAAATTAGAACACAATTTAAAATACCTGTAATAGTTTCCACTGAAAAATCTAAAAAATAGAAAAATACAAGTATGAATATGCTGGTTAATCGGTTAAATTTTTTTTTAAAATTTCATAAATATAAAATTGTAGTATAAGTGGTGATTTGATTAATAATGACTAATAACGTACCATTCATTTCAATAAGTAAATATTCCAAGACTGAAAAATAAAAATAAATTAGGTATAGTGTATCTATTAAAATTATAAACAAATTGTAATAAATTTTATACGGAATGTCTTACAAAGATGTGAGCATTGCGATGTATTGAAAAGTATTAATTTTACCACAAATTTGAGGAAATGGAGTGTTGTCACTTCAATCTGTTTTTGGCCTGTCTCTAATGGCCTGATAAAAGTAGCCAGTTGGTCTGTAACTCAACCAGTCTGCCCTGAGCACAACCATCAGCAATCAGCAGTATATCTGCTTTTTTCTATTATTCCATGATTTGAAGTATATTTGCGTTATAGGTATACCCAGTAGACAAATGTTTGAACATTTGGTGGTATACACATTCAATTCATTTATTTATATGGGCTATGAACAAATACATTTCTATATACAGAAATATAAAACGAAGAACATACAAACAAATAATAAAGAATTTAATATTTATGAAAAACGTTTAATAAAAAAACAAGAGAAGGGTCCATGTAGCTAATAGTTAACAAAGGGTATCCCGTCAATAGATAGCGGATAATTAATAGCGCAAATACAGTTAATAACGTATAAATTTATCGCGAGCGACTTTTCATAGTATGACAATTGGTAGCGTCGTACATAATTTCCTAGTATTTATATTAATAAAATAATACTATCTGAAATAATAGACAATAAAGATAATGAGAATATCCACTTTTTATACTAACAATGTATATTATAGTATATTATGCTTAGACGAAATACTCGGTAAACGCCGTTTAACAGTTAGTAACTTTAAAATTTAAAATATCTTCAAAATATATTACAAGTGAAGAGTATCAAATATATTAATTGATGAAGGTTTTATGTACTGTTTTGAAAAAAAAAATGGAGTACAAAAGACAATATGGAGATGCATACGTTTAAAAAAAAAATGCCGAGGCCGCGTAAATATCATTCTCAATAATGAGAACATTTTTAAAAAAAATCACGTTAACCATGTACCTAGTATCACGAAAGTAGAAGTTAAAACTGTAATAAATAAGGTGAAAATAAATGTGTCAACTCTAAAAAGAACTCTCCAGCGAGGTCATCAATTGCATTTAGAAGCATCAACACGTTTTCAAAATTTTAATTTTAAATTTCCTGACCGACATCTATTCAGAGTTGTTTTTCGTCAGCAATGGTTAATTGTTGCGTACAGATATAAATTAAATTTCCCTTTTACCTTTTCACCTACAACAGTGGCTCATCCACTTGTGAATTATGTCTTTTTAAATTATTGTTTGATTATTGGATTCTATACGACACTATAAAAATGTGAAAAGTCGCTGGTGATAAATTTACGTGATACCAATCAACTACTACCAACTGTCGTGCTCTCAATTATTCACTATTTATTAACGTTTTTTCGATTGGTTAGCTAATTTCTAAACTGGTTCACCAATCCTCTAATATTTTGATGAGCATTGGATGACCGAATAAATGCTTTTGTGAAGTATAAATATAAAACATCAATTTATGAACGCTGCTCAACGATTTAGAAAACATAATTAGTAAATACCAAGTTACAAGTTATAGTAGAATGACGTTTCCTAAAGTCTTGTTAAAATGCTGTTTCTTCATAAGTATATTATTAACTAAGGATCTAAAATTGAAGATCTTATAGATAGGTTGGTTAGGGTGCTGGATCGAGTTCTTGGTGCCAAGACTTGAGTATAGTTGTCGTTTAAGCTAGGTTTTGTCACGAACAAGACTAAAACCAACACGAATAACAGCACCATCACTCTTAACCTTGATGAAGAATGAATGCATAGTAGTCGAATCTTCTTTATGTTACAAACAATCTTTAGATGTCAAATAACACTAGCTTCATGCGTACCAAGCCATATAATCCTTACATTTGAAAGAAGAGAGATACCAAGAGGCAGTAATAACTTTGAGAGGGTATCAGTATCTTCAGATATCCACTGAGGTACATATAAAGACTCTGATTTGGACACATCATAAACTAGTATATTTGACTCATATCTATCATGCTCAAATGTTTCCTGGAATATTTTGACTACAATAGAAGATGGAAAAACTAAAGGGCCATCTTGAGAACTGTTTTTTTCCCAAGGTGGTTACTTTATCCTTCAAAGTATCAAATTCCGCCTGAAATTTGATATTTGCGTCTTTAAGCTCACCACTTATCTGAACGGAAACTTTACTTGAACCGTCCCTTATACTATTGAACTGCGAAGCATGGGATACAGAATAGTGCTTTATTAGAAGCCAGATTTTCTGATTTAAATGACATAAGCATTTTCATTAAGTCATCATTTGCGATTGAAGGGGAATTTATACCGGAACCCGTATAACTGGTTGTACCTTTGGGAATGGGTTTAATAAGTGTTCAACTTGGGTTTATAATATGAAGCAAGCTTGAAGAGGCGTAACACGGTAACAAGACGACCAGCACAACTGATATAAAGTTGAAGCGTCTTAGAAAAAAAAATGTGAGATGCAACTAAATGTACATAATGGGAAGAGAGGTGACAGTGGAAACGAAGACGAAGGTGAACTCTCAGAATTCGCGAGTCATAATAAGCTCATACCATATACCAGCTTTCAAAGTTTTTCCGTCGAAAATGGATGAAGTGGGTGGCCAATTTCAGAACTTTGAGGGTGCATATTTTGTGCTTTTGATAACTCGCAAGGTGAATTTGAAGATTTTGACACCGGTTTCGACGAATAGTAGTTTAGCTTATTTACCTATACGGCAATAATTATGATACCTATATCTAGATATGTACATACACTTGCTTATACCATGCTGGAAAAAATTAGTTGTATTTTTCGTGTATTAGAAAAGAAATGGTATTGGGTACTATAAAAGTAGGACCGGTAATCTTAGAATAAATAGAAATAGAAAAAATAGAAAACATTATATACCTAAGGAACTATGAATTTACGATATAGTAAATCGAACGAGCAGTGAATATCTATTTAAATAGGGTATGGATATAAATGTAGTAGATATGTATTCTTAGGCATGGTCTGGAAAATAAAATCCTACGTTAATCAGATCGTCACATGTCTGCTACTAAATAATAAGTTAAAGTTACAGTTAATGTTCTAATTCCGATTCTGGTTCCTAAATTGTCAGGTTAGGTTAGGTTAGATCTAAGGCAGTATTGTCACACTGTCTAACTGAGGTTTAGTTGAATTATAATAATTTTAAACTAACTATATAATTTTAATATATTAAACATAACTAATTAATGTGTCACTAATACATACAGTATAAATCCTCTCTACTTTCAAACGCTAAAAATCAAACAGTTTTCTGTTATAAAATCAATCAATGTTAAAATTTAAAAGAAAGTTAGTATATAATATTAAAATAAAAACAAATTAAAATTAGTATGTTGGTAAATAAAATTATAAAATTATTAATTGGTTATTTATTATCCAGTTCAAAAAAAAATAACTTAAACAAAATTACCTCTTAGATTGTTTTTAATCAATTCAAAAACTAATAAAAAAAATTATTTTATTAGTTACTAATTAAATGTTAGTTTGATATAAATAACGTATATATTGATGTTTCTGAATGGAACGAAAAATGTATTGGTTTTACTGTTATGATGTGTGATTTTTTTTCTGTCTAATCAACTTGAACTTTTTTAACAGAAATCTTGCTCCAATAAAAAAATGTCAAAAGATCTTTTTTGCTAAAGTTGAGATCTAGTTGGCAGGTAAGAAAGTTGTTTTTTTTGTTTTCTCTGTAGTTTTCTTAATAATTTTGTTAAACCAAAAAAAAAAACAGAAAAAAAGCGAAATTAACTATTATTTCCAATATTTTTCGGGATCTGCTATCGATAAAAAGTAGTATCGGTCATCCCATATAAATAAGCACACTATATAGTAAAATAAATACATTCCTCGTTCCACTCAGAATTTTAATGAAATATTATAGTGGCAACTAGTTGGCTGGAGGAAAATGCGATTCTAATGAAGCTCTACTACTCATGTATGTTCTTATAATACCTTTAATCCGACTTGTATCTCCTCCATCTAATTCTGTAATAAAAAAGAATGTACGCATTACAGTAAGTTTAAAGTTAAATGCAATATCGATTTTTATGACATTTTGTAATTTGTTGAAATAAATGTTTTGAAACTAAGTATTCGTAAATATATTACCTATTGTTATATCGGTATGGTTATTATATGATTGATGAATACTTCATTTGCTACCAAATTTTTAATAAGGTTAAGCGAATACAATTTTGAAAATTGCATGATAGGGTCTGTACCTGTGTTGTACTCGTACATAATATTTTGTGCGACACATAATTTAATTATATTTTTAGAACTTAAATATTATGATTGTCGAGAAATATTATATTTATATGTATCTAATTTATAATTCATATTTATTGCATTATTTACGATTCGGTGTAAATATATAAATTTATAAATTATGTATAATTATTATGTTATTAGCACTGCGACTACATCATTCACAAGCAGTATCACTAAATAATATTGCATTCAACTCAATACCATCGATAATAAATTGCGTAACTATTTAAATAGCAAGTAAATATTATACCTCTTTCTTGACAATGTAGAAAAGATCTTAATATTTAATATGTAAACAAATAAAACATAATTTTCAATAACTGCGTAGACGCACACAAAAGAAGAAAGTGAATATATAACTGAAAAAATAAAGGGGGGAATAGAATGATAATGATACATGTATAGGTATATTATGATAACATTGAGATTACCATAGATTATACCAATCAAAAATATCAAGTCACTGACTATTGACCAACCGATATTATAATAAATAATATAGTGTATGATGACCATTGTGTATTCTCGTTTATTCAGGCCCAAATTAAGATATAATGGCATATAGTGCTCGTAGATTGTGAACGAATAAATGTATCTTTTTATTTTCATAACAGTACACTATTTATGAGTCTTCAATGACGGACTATGCATTTCATTTGTCATAAATCATAATTCATATAATTTGTAGTTATGTAAATTTCGTATTGGCCACCAGTCCTGAATTTGTGATTGCTACAGTTTTGCTTATCTGTCCAGTGTCTACTAATTAAAATATTTCTATTATTTTGATAGTTAATATATATTATGCATACTTACCGTTAAAGAAATTTTCAAAGTAAGATCGGAATGTCAAGTGATATTGTGCAAATTTAACCATAAACTGTGAAACAATGTCTTCTGAAATTGCATTTATTTGATTATTAATAACAAATTAAAAACGTATAGTTGAAATTATATTATCTTAAAAATTATTATGATTTAATATATTATTCTTATAATATTATTTTTAGTAAAAAGTAGTTAAAAGCAGTGCAAAATCTGTTTTCAAATTATTACACCTACTGCTGCCATCGTCTATTATTTTATCTACAATTAATTAGTTAATTGTATTTTCCCCTTCGCGGGGCAGGTTCATAGTGAATTAATAAAAAATACAATAATACAATCTTAGAGATAGTGAGTTGGCTTTTGTTAACAGCACTCCCTTATGATGGTAACTTCAGAATAGGAAAGGCTGCACCGTGATAGATGCGCTTGCCGGCTTGGTTGCTCGTTACGCCCTTATTTTCAAGACATGATTGATAATCCATTGGTCTGACGTTATGAATTATCGCTGGTTCTTGGCCTTTCTGATCTTCACCGAGTTTAACTGTACCTTTTTACTAGTGGTATAGCATGTGTGTATTGGTATTGAGACTGTTTTTTTTTTTTTGGCTTAATAAAGTCAAAGAAATGATTATTTGTATTTTTATGGTGTGTGTATCAAGAATATACTTTTTGGGTGTTTATACTTTCAGTCCTTTCTCCACCATTTATATGGTCAAATCTCATATTTATACAGAAAATATTAGGTTTTAAATAACACTACTGATTAATGTACCAAATGAAACTCTGACAACTATAACTATTTTAAAGCAATTATTTATATAAACAAATTTAATTTTTTAACATTTAAAATTTGGCGGGTGAAAATTCAACTCTATAGTCTTCCTCACTGTTTTTTTTTTGTAATCTAACATTTAAAATACACTGAAAATCTAAAATAAAACTCAGTAAAATTTAAATAAACCATTAAAAAAATAAAACAATGTAAGTTACTTTTCAGTACATCCGAATATGGGAGAAACATCTCAGTAAATGTAGTAATTTGTATAAATACTTGAAAAATACTAGATACATATTGAGAGATATTATTATAACCCGTATCTTTAAGACCTGAAAAAATTGTATATAAGAATTAATTGAATATTTATTATATCTATTAATACCAAATCTTAATTAAATCGAGGTTTTATTAATTGCAGATATTTTTAAAATAAATGTTTTCCTTAGAATGTTCATAATTAATATTGTAATACACCTAAGAAGATATATTGTAATGAATTCTTACAAAAAGAGCGCACAAAAAATAAAAAGTAAGAGGTTTGGTTACTTATACAAAAAGTAACTTTATTCGGTTTAGACAACTACAATTTAATTATATGAACATTAGTTCTGAATGCTCGAGAGGTTCTGTTTCTAACGTTGAACTGTTGCTGAACCTCGTCTTATTGATGACATACGAGTTTCGGTCGTTCAGGCAAAAAGAGTTAACTCAACAAATTCCCTTTTTTAATTTACAAAATATAAAATATAAGTTACACAATATTTTCAATTCTAACAAATGATTTCGAAACACTGTCTCATAAAATAGGGTTTCATAACAATATAACTATTGCGGTATTTTGGAAAGTACCTATTAACTTTTTTCATGGAGCATCATTTGTTTGGTTGCACAGCGTACAATGTTTGAATAGTTATTCACTACTGTTCTCCTATCCAAACTTAAAATTAGTGTAATATCTCGTAAACGGGTTTACAAAAATCACAAATTTCAACATCAAAATTCAAAAAGAAAATTTATACTAATACTCTGTTTAATATATATAGAATTTTTAGTGTAAGTTGCCGTTTGGAAATCAAAAAAAGATAGTTGTTTTACCTACCAAAATAAAGGATAATGAAATATAAAGGTTATGTAAAATTTTCAAACCACTTGGTTCTTATACTGTAAAAAAAAAAATTATAAAAAAAGTTAATACTTTCCAAGATATCACAATGATCCTAATATCTTCGCATGTATCTTATATGGTTTTTAATTATATTACTTTTAAAAATATTGAAATACCTTAAAAACCTTAAATATCTTAAAATTATAAATAAGCTTAGGTACTCACTATGTAATTTTTGAATACTTGAAATAAATTCAGAATATATACATAATATATTTTTGAAGTGTCCAATAAGTAAACGAATGGCAATACTCCTCAAAGAATCTAGAATATTATAATTATATGAAATTTACAGTGGATTTAATTTCAATCACAAACCATTGGCATAGAATTATGATTAAGAAAAGGAAAATGAAAACCAGTATTATAAATTGTTACTTAAAATTCTGTAAAAATAATAAATAACTGATAAACTAGTTGATAATTCAAAGTATGATTTAGATGAATTATTATGAGAACTATTGGTAATAGTCTTAAGTATTGAAAATTAATATTAAGTTTTTTTTCATAAATTGAATCATATATATTGTATATAAATAATTTTATTTCAAACTCTTTTCAAGGCTTACAAAGCATTTCTTAGGCCTAGTTGTACAGTTCCGTGATTAAATAGTGATCAATAAATTAATGTTCAAATTTTAATTAATAATTTATCTTTAAGTGTTTTACGATTAAAACAGTATGTAGTTGTATTTATACAATATTTTAATTATTTTTTATTACAATTGGTACTCAGTTATGTGATACTCTGAGTAATCACCAATCATATAATCACTTTACCCAAACATAGCATTTGACCAAGCATATGAATGATTAGAAATAATAGAACTATCAAACTAAATGTAGAAAACTAGAGACATCTATATTAATTTTGATATTTTTTTAACTTTTACTCTTTTCCACGATCTTCAACTAATTTAGAGTGCTGTAGCTAACCACGGTCATTGTTAATATTGATCAATTCAATTTCTTTATCTGTTGTAAACAATGCAGTTTCATAAGCAGAGTCTATGAACATATTTCTTCCCAGTACATTTTCTAGTCATTTTTTGGTTAGTAGTAATTAGCAACTAAAAAATAAATAATTATGTAAAATTGTAATGTAGTTTTATACGAACCATCATTTAAGATATCTATAAAAAAAATAGTATGAACATTTTATTTTTTTATAAATCTACTAACATACTGTGATATATAAATAAAAAATATTAGTGTGATTGTGATAAATCTATATTGGGTTCATACCTCATCAACTGTAGTATGGAATAAAAATAATCCGTGAGAGTCATAAGTTTTGCGTTTTGATTTCAAAATTAAGACAATTTATTGTGTTAACTATTTACTCAAGTTTTTTAAAAAAAATGTAATTTTTCTAAATCATTGTATGTAATAAATTGAATTTCAATATAGTTAAAGTATGGAAAAAACTTACACCAAATTTGATTTTACATAGATAATTAAATAATTTTTAAGAAAATAGTGTTATTATCAATTTTTTTTTTAAAGTTTCAGTTTACTATAAAAGTTTATACGGTAATGTGTTCTAGAACCAAATATTTCAGAATGAATTTTAAATACAAAATATGATATGATTATTTATTGGTCTTAAACTTATAACTCAGCTTATTACTATATTGGTTTAATCTCTATTGTACATGGACAAAATTATTTAGATTCTAAGTGGAGCGAAGATGCTTATGATTTTAAGAAGATATTTTTTTTTTTTAATCTACACACAACTATTCTATTAGAAATTTTGATTCGATTTTTAATCATAGTATTTTTTCTAAAAGAAAATCTGACTGGGGAGGTACTTTAAGAAGGTAATTTTTCAATTTTTCTAAGAATTTTCCCAGTAAATATGAAAAACCGGAAAAAACTTAGAAAAAACGAAAAATCGGTACAACGGACAATAAACAAATATTATGAAAGAATATATATATTGCCTATTTAATTATTTTTTACTATAATATGATATATATATATATATATATATATATTGTTGATAAAGCATCACTATAACTGAATTCTGCTTGGAATTTTTTTTTCATTAATGATGGTTTATCGTTTCTTACATGTGTACATTAAATTACCTATAACAGTGGCTGCACACGTTTCTATTATCCTAGGGCAGCTTTTTATACTTATTATACTACCATACGAGTATATTATAAGTTTATAACATGATGTATTACCCGAATAATAGGTATTACCTATATGATTGTGGTAACATTTATATTTTTATGAAAATGTGATTTATTTTGTTGGGAAACTGTGAAATATTAATGATACTAGATATTAATTATTAATATAGTATACCACAGAACTATGTAATAACTCAATGTGACAATGTACAATACCATACAGTCAATCGATTAATCAAGTCAATCAATCAGCACACATTAAATTACTGTCCACTCAATCTCAGTATACCTAGAAGCTCTTTAACTACAGTTATGCTGAAAGTATCATGGATTACCGTTGTAGATATACATTTTATTTATTTATTTATCCTAACTTCCCAGCTTTCATCTATGAAAGTATTTTTACATTCGTCTGCTATATGGCAATATCAGCTTTTTATTGATATTGATACAGAAGACAGACATTATAAGTTTTATGTTAATTATATAAAAAACTAATTTGGTATATACTTCTTACTAGGTAATATTAACATGAGTTTGTTTTCCGGAACGCACAAAATGATCGTTATAGGTATAAATGTACAACCAAATTTCAGTATAAGTTGGGTTATGAGCGATATATATATATTAGACTCAGAACGTAGAAAGAGATCGATTGGTTTTTAACTACGATGCGAAACTTTAATATGGTGATTTTTTTGTGTCCGTAAACAATTTTTCGAAAAGAAATCTTACTCTGTTATAACAAGTGTAGCATTTTTTCAGAAAGGAAATTGTATTTAGGTGGTGCTTTCGGCTACGACTACATTAGATTCGATCTGACAATCATACTAGTCGGAAGAAATGCAAAGCCGTGTAAATTATCGGTAGTAGCTATATTTATCTGATTTGTTTCCGGCATACCGACTAGTCGGATACGTCTGAGAAATAAATCGATTTGATTCTCTTTCGATGAGTCGACAAAATTAGATTTTTTGTGTTAAATAATCGATAACTTATGAGTTATAAATTATAACTTATAACTTATATTAATAAATAATAGACATTTTAGTTTTATGAGTTTTTTTACGTAATTATTATTTGGTAGGTACTTTGTTTATAAAATTGTTAGACAAAACAGAAATGCTTGAAAATTCAACAGGGGATTTATTTTACGTCGTACTTAGTGGTCAATCATATTTTGACAAAGTTCATAAATATTACAGCTTTTCAAGACATCTATAACCCAACTTCGCTCCGAATCGTTTTTATATTAACAATGGTTTATCGTTGCTTATAAATAAAAATATAACTTTATGTATACTATCTTCCCAATTTCCCATCTACAAAAATCGCAAACCTTTCCCCAGTATTAGCTATTTTCTTATACTTACTTTTAAATGTAACGAAGTAATTTAAAGCATCTATATAAAGGAAATAGGAGTATATTAATTGCTTTCCAGATGTATACCGGAATCTGAGTGTACTTAAATCTCCTCCAAGTGTTTTTGGATAAAATTCACGTACCTATACTAGTTTAGTGCATACATACATACATACATACATACATACATAAATACATACATAATATGTGTTGTCATACATATATAAAAGATGTTCTATACGCCTGTTGTATACCCTGAAACTAATATCTTTGTTAATATCCAATTTTTTTTTTAAATTTTGCAATCAGATTTTGTATCAGGAGACACATGCAGTTAGAAATTAATTATTTTTAATTTTAGAATTATGTATTTTTTAGAAATTGATTATTTTGAAAATGTTGAAAAGTGATTAAATAAAAAGTAATTTTTTTCTAATGATTAAAGGATATCAATAAAAATTAGTGTTCTCTAATTATATAGCGAGATAAAAAATTTGAAAAAATGTGAATACTAACAGAGATACTCGTTTTAGCGTAGGAAAAAGAATAAGATGGAGGCACCTTGTAAATAATATAGATATTATATATTTAATACGAGTGCATTATTGAATTGCTAAAATGTCCACAATAAAACAAATTTCGTATTATAATATGATATAAAAAAAAAAAAATTAATACGAATAAAATGCATATATAACCTTGATAATATTCATTACAATCGTCATCATTATTATGATCTGAAAAAGTCACACAATATTTTAGGCACTAAACTGTATGTATTATTTTAATGTTATAAATAAATTATATTTTGATATGAATTAAAAAAAATAATATATTGACAACACGTTTGGTTTTAACAAGTTCTACAAAAATTATATTAAAAGAGCCCAATTAAAATTTCAAACAAATTTGATATTATATAAAGAACCGTAGTAAAATAAAATAACACAAATCTGTATTTTGACAAAGTGAAAATATATTTTAAATCAGTAGTTGTAGTTTTCGACCTTTGTGTACGAGTAAATATGAACCAAGATATTAATTCAATTTTTCAAAGAAAATTAAAAATTATCAGCATGAGACTACGATGTCAGATTTAAATCAGACAATGAAAAATTAAATGTTTACCTTATTTGTAGGCTTTTAGACATTTTCCTGTTTTAACCTTTTTAGATTTTGAGTGAAGACGATGAAAAATGTACTTGATAAAAACATTTTCCATAGCTATAACAGGTACTATACTTATAATATAATTATTTAAACATACTAAAAATACATAGGGTAATGTATTGTTTATGTACAAAATACATACACAATACCATTATTCGTAATTTTTAAAGTAATACTTTACTGTTGTCAAAACGATTGTTAACAACTCAGATTATTGCTCATAGAAAATTATGCAATTGTATTAAAGTAAAACTTAAATTCCCTACTGCACTGAACTATCAAATGTACTGAACGTTGCGTTAAAAGCCTACAATTATTAAATAATTAATTGTATAGGTACATTTTATACAATTCGATTATCTGTCTATATAGTCTATCGATTTATTTGGGAATGAAAACCTTAACACAAATAGCAGTTTAGCTCGTGACCGACAACGCAATAACATTTTTTCTGTTTACTTTATTACTTTATATAGTTTATTTATCATACTTAGGATTTTTTCACACAGAACGATATTTCTGGTGATAAAATTTTTTTTTTTTTTTGGTCATCTTAAATTATTGTGCATTAATATTACGTAGGTACAGTAACAAATTTGTAAATTGTATTGTTGAGCAAATGTAATGTCGGAAAAATATATTATCAGGTTAATAATGTCGGGCAATTGAATGTCGGAAAAGTGTACTGATAATTATATTATAATTATTTGAAAATTATCAAAAATCAAAGTAAACGTAAACAAAAAAGAAAAGATATTGATATTAATTTGTATTAAGCAGAAAAACTTGCATATTTCTTTTCTATATAAGTGTAAGCACTCTCACTGTTTTTCTCTTTCCCTTAATGGATTATTAGTAGGTGCCATTTAATATTATTATTAATAAATGCAATATAAATATATACATTCATTTCAATATTATTGAATACTTACCTTTATTTTCCTCGCTTTCAACGTGTAATATGTCTTTTTAAAAATTGTATAAGGATGTTAATTGATAATAATTACAAATGTTTGTATTCATACAAATTTAAAATTGTATTACGTAGGTTATATATTAGATTAAATATTTAAAAATCCCACTGATAATGATTATGATTATTGAAAAATATAAACATTTAATAACTTTACTATAAATTATGGATAATATTCAATAAGACACTCATTAACTCGAAAAGTATTTACTTTCTTAAGAATTTTTTTTTTTTGACAACTTGTGAAATAGGCTTTAAACTATTACATTAGCATTGCCATATTTTGTTTGTTTAATTTTTAGGGTCAAACTGGTACCTACATTTCATTTTCAAATAATAAACTTCCTATATAAAAAAACACTATTAAAGTGCCACAATTTTAAAAAATGATGTTCAACTACACAAACTTAAATGTGGTATATCGCGGGAAATAAAAATTTTAACACCAAAATATATTTGAACTAAAAATTTATCTATTTACGAAATTTTTGATGTAGTCTACTATTTAAAAACAAATTAAGGGTGATCAAAAATAACGATAGTGTAACATATTAGATCTATACTTAAATCATAAATTTTGGAAAAAAAATTATAAAAAATTTGTCGAGATAATGAGGGTCAAGGATAACTCTGTATATGTAAATGACGACAATTTAGGAAATTATAAAAATTCCTTATTTGAATAGAAAATTTTATCATTGCTTGATAAATATTATAATTTCCTACGCCCTATGATTAAATGTATACAATTATCAACAAAGTTACTTATATAACTAGGAATATCTAATTACTTTTTACTCTAAACAATTTTATACTGTTAGACATTTGTATATTATAATATTAATATTTAAAATAATACTAAATGGTTATTTTACCTTCATTATTAATAAATGTATCGACTATACGATACATTTTTAGTCCTTGTGAAAAAAGTTGATTATCCACATTGGTAGTATAAATAATATAATTTAAAAATTCTTTTAACCATTTTATTTCTTTTTCATCTGTAAATACTTAACATAAATAATATTTAATTACTATAAGTAATCATTAAAAACAATAGGTATACGAATTTATTTAGATATCTATTGACAAATTTAATGTATTTTAAGGATTATGTACACATACAACTTGTTTTAGGGCACAATTTTTAGGTTTTTAATCAGGTATATATAACCAGTAGTTTCAAATGAAAAAATAAATAGTAAATAAGGATTTTTTTTTCATAAAATACGCTATTTTCTTTCGTAAGTAATTTAATTACATCACTGTATATTAATAACCTTATTATACTGGTATATTATCATAAAAAAAGATTTTATTAGATTTATACGGTTATTATTTTTTACTATTTTTTTTAACTGTGGTGACACTCGTAATAAACAATGATTTTGTTATTATTACAACTTTGGTGGTTTGGTTTTACCGTGGATATGCGGGCTTCCACACAACCTTAGATAATATCTATGATTGTAAATTGCAATGATAAACTTACTGAACTGATGTTAACAAAATTTAACGCGTCTTTGAGTTAGCCCACGGATGTTGTAGATAATACTAATATAACCTATTTAGTTAGTGAAAAACAATTAGGAAGGTATGTAGATCATTTTGTTTTCACTTATTTCACTTGAGTATTTAAGTAATAATATTTTGTGTAGGTTTTTTGTCATTGTTTTCATATAAAACGTACCTCATAGTTTTGCACACAAAATAACTATTTAGTTATTCATTATGGCAGAAAAAAGATTTTTTTCTACTTTTAGTTGGAAGAAAAAAAAGCGGTAGATAAGTATGCAATCCACAATTCATAAAATTCTAATTTTGGTTGACCTCTGGCTTTTTTAATCCTATGCTAGCTTAAAAATTGTGTTTCACTACCCAAGATTTTTATAGTTACTTAAATATTATATTTTAGATTCTGAGATTAGCGAAAAATGTATTAGTTTAACAAAGATGTTTTTTTTTTTTAAATTCTGTTTTTTATGTGAACACTTTCACAACCAGAAATCTTACTCCGATAATCAAGTAAAGCATCTTTTCTGAAAGGAAATGTTCTCTGGGAAGTACTTTAGAGAGGTTATTTTTTGAAATTTTCGGTAGCAATCGCTTATCATTGCTTACAGGTATACATTAAATTCTAGTTTAAATCCTACCTTCTCAACTTCCTCTCTATAACAGTGGCCACGTGCGAAGTATGTCCGTCATTTTTTTAAACATTTTTTGTGTACCTATATTTTATGTTTTTTTATCAATCAAAACTGAGAATACACCTACTTTATTATTAAAACTTGTGACAAAACAACTGATTTATTATCAATTCTCAAGGTCCTCCATTGAAAAATCCTACGTACACCACTGTATATAACGATTATATCTAACTAATGGTTATACTATAATCATTAATTATATTTATACTAAATTGATGATGATGATGATAATAAATTAAATAACTTTAATTGTTTATGATATTTAGGTGATTTGTTACTTAAACAAAATATAATTGCCTATTATATTTTCACTTAGTACATTGTATGGTCACATAAAAAAAAATGAAAAACGCGGACAGTTTGTCCTGTTTTAGGGTGGTACTTAACAAAATGCATATGGGGTACAGTTTGTACTATTTCATATAAGTATATAGGTACATCCTAGACGGAGCAGCCAACTTAAACCTATTACATCTTTTTTTTCAGCCCATTGCTGACGAAAGACAATTTAGAGTGCAGTTCGATATTACATAATTTGAAATTCCGTAAATTTTTTTGCGATTTTCGTTTAAATTTGATTTCAAAACGTTTATTAAAAAAAAAAAACTCAACAAAAATGGTCTCTTGTCGCTTTTCAATTGGAGCCATATTTGTACTGAAAACCGTGGTAGATACTTATTTAAAATAACGAAATCGTGAAAAAGAAGTTTTTTTTATCCCAGTTAATCATTTTAAATACCATTTAGAAAATTAAAAAAATGACTTATAAATTTACCAAGTAGATAAAATTTATTTTCAGAAAAGGTGCTGGACTTATACATTAGAGCAAGTTTTCTAGGATAAAAATAGTCTACAGTATAAAAAAATATAAAGTACTATTGTAAAAAAAATTTAAAAAAGGAAAAAAAGTTGTCTGATGATTTTGAAAGTTTTACCACGTCTAGGAAAGTCTAATATAAGTATTATTACGAAGTTTCAAGACTCTACATGAATTTAAAACCAAATCACTGCATAAAATTCCAAAAATTTAAATTCCTTAAAAGCTTTAAAGTTTTGGCGACAATAAAGTAAAAACTAAATCAAAATCGCAACAAAAAAGGTATCTTGTGATTTTTCGATTAAATCATTTTTTCTGATAGAAAACGTCATCCGTGTTTTCATAAAATAATGATCGTGAAATTGTACGAAATATATTAGTAAAATATTATGATTTTTTTTTCTGTGGACAACTTTTCCATCAGCAATTTTGCTTCGATTTACAATAGTAGATTTTTTTGTGAAAGGAATATCTGACTGGAAAGGTACTTTAGGGAGGTAATTTTTCGGTTTTTCCAAGAGTTTTCCCAGCAAATTTGAAAAACCGGGATAAATAAAGAAAAAACTGGAAAAAAGGATTATTATTAAACAAATATTATTAAAGAAAATATATAATATCTACTTAATAGGTTATAATATGATATATATTTATATATATATTGTTGACAAAGCATCACTATCAACTGAACTCCGCAGATATACATTGAATTCTCATATGTATCCTACCTTCCCCACTTTCCATCTACAAAAATGGCTACACCCGTCCCCATTATCTTAGGACATCTTTTTTTAAATCTAATTTATCTAATTTTATTCATTATCATATTAAATCATGTTTTTAAATAAAACTATAGTTTATCTTACTTGCTATAGCATACTGACATGTTTTTCCAAAATTCTCCAACTTTCTTTTCCTTGATTCTTTTATTGCTCGGTCTTTTTTTGCCTTTTCATTTTGAAATTCAGATGAATTCAAACTTTCATCATCTTTATTCATCTTCATTGTTAATAGTAACTTATAAAGATCTAAATAAAGAATAAAAGACAATTTTTTAATATTGTTGCATAGACTTAAATTTCGGCCTTTTTAAAGTACTAATTTTAGATTCAGAACATAGCGAAAAAACAAAATTATAGAAAAAGTTGAAAATATTTATGATATGCATCTTAGCGTTCCCAATTTCATTGTTTTTAATTTGTATGTACTATTCTTTTATTTTGAGATTTTCTGAATAGTTTTATCAATAATTGAGCAAACCCAGTAAAAAATGTAGAAATAACAGGTGTCAGGTTTGTCAATTTGTGGGGTCATTGTCATTGAACTGTATGAGGGAAAATTGCTTGCACGATGAGCACAGAATCGCCATCCGCAGGCCTTTTTCCCCATTGAGGGGAACATGTACACTGCCCATAAATTATATATGCCATATGACTTTCCTAACTACCAAGAGGCCGTGTACGGCTTCGTCTTGACATCCTAGACGAACCAAGATGTTCCGTGTGGTTAGGAGCTCATATTAAAACAATTTGTCCCGCAGGACGCATAGACCCATGCGATCCCCTTCCCGTGGAACGCTCTTACATGAGAACACACGGACCTGCTGATCACATCGTGTTCCCATGAGCATAAAATGTGTGGTGTAATGTCAGAGAATGAGTGTCTAGTCTTACTCTGAGTAGGAGTCATTTAGATGATGTGAGAAAGTTTGGTCGTTATAAGTAGAATGATATATATGAATGTTGCATAAAGTAGTAAGTGTATGTGGCTTGTAAGGCCAGTGCGTATGGCTTGTAAAGTGAGGCGGCATGCGTAGTTTGCAAGATCAGTCTGTGCGGCTAAGGCAGGTGATGTGCGTGGTTTGTAAGGCCAGTAAGAGTGGCTCATATGTTCGGGGTGAATTGTATGGCAGCTCTCACACATCAATGAACATGGTATACAATGATCATTCCCAAAAGTTGATTATGAAAGATAAGGTGGTACGCACGACGAAATCAAAACTCTCGTGCACGTGCTGTGGTCTTGCTCTTTCTGCTGGTATTTGTGTGCTCAGGATTTGCAAGTCACGGTGTTTCTGTGCTCAGGATTTGTGAGCCACTGTACTTCTGTGGTGAACAACAGCCCTGATACACATGCATACAGCCATTAAGTCATACGCGCATGCTATCCGCCATTGGCAAGGGACTAAGAGACCATTTGAGAGGGTTAGGAATAACATAATTAAATAGGTACTCATTGAACTCTGAGTGGATGTTCACAATCAGATTTATTTATTGGAAGTTTTAGTAACTTGTGTAACTTGTAAACTTGTGTAAGAAAATAAATTAAACTATTTAATAGAAAAGAAATTTAGTAAAAAGGAAAGATTGCTTCAATTTATATTTTGCAGTGTTGACTGCTGTTCATGGAATGATTTTAACTACGGCGTTGATCGACTTAATTGAGCCGCTCCGTTGACAAACGGTGCACGCAGTCAGTTTCTCACGGTAGCAACGGCGGAGCGTCCGAGATCTTCCGAAGCTGCTGCGCATGTGCGTTGTAAATGCGTCCATTAGCGCGCGTTGGAGAGGGGATTGGTGGTCACCACGGGACCAATCAAGTTTTAGCGGCGCACGTTGGAGTAGGGATTGGTGACCGCTGTGGAATCAAACCGGTTTCGTGCATTGTTTTTGTTTTGATATTTTCCCGTGCGGGTGAACAACAGGAAAGTTTATGAATTAATGGTTTTAGTTGGTTTTTTTTTGTTGGAATTTTCTTAAAATTATTCACAGTGACTTAGCAGAAAACTTATATTTGCCTTTTATAAACGTAGCAAAATTAACCAATTATTTTGGCAATTTTTGAGCTATTATATTTGTGAGATTTTTACGTAACTTTTATTTGGTATATGTATTATGTGGCTATAATTGTTTGAATTAACAGAATTGTTCAAAAATTTAACACGACGTTAATTATAAGATACTAATTGGTAAAAAAAATTATGCACATAATATAGGTACTATTTATATATATATATATATATAATGGTGTTAAGGTTAAATTTTGATAATAATCGTAAATATTACGGCATTTTAAAATATTACTGAATTTCTCTAAGAATCGTTTTTTGTTAGTCATGATTTATTATTGATAAAAATAGATATAAATTAAACAACTTAATAAAGTATCCTACTTTTCCCAGTTCCTACCAGTGGAGTACTGATAAGGTGGCATGACAGGCAATGGGCCAACGAAATTTAGAGGCCCAAAATCAGGGCCTGTGGCATAATTTATTAGTGTATAGATAGGTGAATAAAAAACAGACGACGACCATTATAATATGAGTAGACGAACGTATGGATCTAAAACTGTGTAAATTGGGCTCAAACTTGTTTGAGCCAATAACTGGCCCGCCTCTTGCAATTATTGATAGGAAGGTGCACACGTATAAATTATACGAATCTTTTACTGTTTACCCTTTTTTTTTTTGCTGTTCGGCTTAATTCAGTAGAACATATATGTATTTATTTTATTTTTTAACGTAGCAATCTTGGTGTTGGGCCTTGCCGTAGCAGCTACGATATTTTGCCACGGGAATTATAATTATCTATTTACGCCTCTGCTTCTCACCTATATGAATGGCACATCCATCCCCAGTATTAGCTCTTTTGGATTCTGAGCGGAGCAAAAAAAATGTATTGGTTTTACAATGATGTTTATTTTTATATTTTATTAACTACTTTTCTACCAAAAATCTAAATCCGATTTTTTAATATAGCACCTTTTCGTAATTTTTATTCAGTAGGAACTCTGTGGATAAAATTTTTTGACCAAACAGTAATGTTTGATCATTTAATTGAACGTTTATTATAAGTTGTACTTTGTGGCTAAAAATAATTGAGTGTAAAGAATTTTTTTAAAAAAATTTTAACATCTATTTACGACCTTTTCAAACATGTTTAATCGAGATCCGCTCAGAATCATATTTCGTTAGCAGAGATTAATCATTGCATACAGATATATAAACAATTCCCTTATATTATCTATCTTCCTAACATCTCACCTACAACAGTGACTTATCCATTGTGAGAAGTATGCCCGTCTTTTTTTATTTTTAGCTTCCTTATTGGTTACACTGATACAATAAATTGAATGATTGTATGGGTAACTTTATAAACTTATGTCATAGACAATAATTAATCCATGCAATAATTGATACATGGACCTTAAGAAATCTCGGTAAACATATAAATTATTATCTGAAAAAAAAGTGCAAGGAGGGCAAAAGACACTTAGAACCTACGAGAGTTGGGTCAAGAATAGAAAGACAAACAAAAATGTTTATTATTATTATTATCATCCCTTCAGTTGTATTACTAAGACTAAATTAAATAGTAAAAAGCAAATATATACCAATAACCTAATGTATTATTATTTATATTACACAATATGCAAATACCCCTAGAATATTATTATATTCAACAAATGTATTTTTTTCAACCCTTATTACAATATTTCAGATATACACATGAACAATGCAAATTATCAAATAAATTATAAAATTGAAATTAATCATTAATCTTATAAATTTACTATTAAATATTACTTCCAGGCACTGAGAAGACAATTTTTTGACGATTTTTTATCCAATATTGCGATTCGGTAATCGATACTATAGCGTCTATTAAATACATATTTAATATGTTATTAATTTTTTCCTGGTCAATTGGATAATCTGAAAATATGTTGAAAAAAACGTGTTATATTATTAAACATACTATATCACTAAGGTAACATAAAGTATCCCATTTAATTTATTTATTATGTTATCTAGAAATATTCAATACTTATGAATAGAATGTTTTAAAAATTTATATTGTAATTATTATAGGTTCTATAAAATAAAATTTATTGAAATAATGAAAATATACCTACGTAATTCATAATAAAACTAGATAATTATAATTATATAAATTATAATCTTACAATTTGTAGAAAATTATAATACAGTGTGGTTATCATACCATCGATCAATAATTAGAACTAAATTCCAAAGAATATGATATTGTAAGAGTACTGAACAACGTAGAATTTGAACATCTGGATTCAAATGTGCAATGCTATGACCAAAATGAAAACGTTGATGATGCAATTATACAATCCATACAAGATAAACATGATTTGGATGAAGATACAGACGAGGAACCAGATCCACCAATTCGACTACAGGAGGCAAAGAAATGTTTGGAAATATTGAGACTATTTTTTCTTCAACAAGAAAATAAGGGAAGCCCCATAAATACTTTGGATGCTTGTTCGGACTACATTCGTCAACAATCAATAATACGCAAGAAACAAAGTAATATTCATAGTTTTTTTTAAATAACATAAAATACAATGTACATTATATATATGTATATATGTACTTTATATTAATTATGTATGTATGTATTTTTATAAATAACTTAGTTATAATACCGTGATTTTCTTTTGGTAATGTAATAAAAAATTTAAATAAAGTCCATAGTAAAACAATTTCAAAAAATGTATATGTCATTTTTGTATTTCGGATTATTGGGACAACCGCTTTATTGGGACAAAATAAAATGCAACCGATGTGTCCCAATAAAGCGGATTCGACTGTATTACTATACTCTTTTCTAATTAAGAGTACACCGGTTCGCGCATATGCGACTGAGCGCCAAACGTTGCTGAACCCTTCTATTAATTAGTCGAAAACAATCGTTCCCGATTGTACGCCGTCGCCGCACTATACCGTATGTCGCATGCGTTGTCGTCTTTGCCGTCACCGTGTATACAGCGAGTTATAATATCTATAATGCCTATCGTCTAACAAATCGTGATAATATACGTGTATCTTATACCAACTATTATCAAACTAACGAGCAACATTGAAAATTATGCAACATAAAGCAGATATATGTAGATTTTAGGTTAACATTAGAATTTTAACACAAATAACACCATGTATGGAGAAGAATATTTTAATAGATTTATTTACAAGAAAATTATATCATATGTACATTTTTTTCAAATTACCAATACATTACAAAATTAAACATTTAAAACAATTAAAACGAGTCTGAATTTGATGTAGTTTTTCCATTGACATTGAAAGCTAATTGTTAAGTTTCCACGGTCATCATGTCATTAACAATGAAATTAATTTTCCAAAATTTGACTTCTTTTTATTAGTGTTGGTTATGAAATTTGTACACAATTCCGAATTTATACGCTCCATGCTTACATTCAATAACATTTTAACATCAGCCAACTTGTACGTAGAGTTGTTTTGCTTGTCTTAATATTTTACTGAAGACCACGCCAGCTCAATGGGGTTAAGTTCTTAATGGTATGGATGTAGTCTGAGAATTGTGCGTCAATGTTATTTTGCAAGCTCGTCAATTATGCATTTATTGTATAGTGGTTTTGTTTGGTTCAATATAGCCAAACATTGTGGTATAACTTTCTAGCCAATTGATAATATCAACTTTCCTTTTCGCAGATATAGGTATTTTATTGACTTTAACATAGTGGTAAGAGACATTGTCCATAACAATAATACAATTTTTTTTCAAATGTGGTAAAATACTTTCTGTCCATTCATAAAATGTATCTCTGTTTATTCACCGTGATAATCGAAGGAATTATTTTTCGATTTAAACCATAGTAAACCACCAGGCATGAAGCCGTCTTCAAACCCAATATGGAGAACAATCAGATGTTTTCATTTACCTGGTGAATTTTTGAAATCCGTTGTTAAACCTCGTAGGAATGCGTCATGGAGAAATTTAATTATTTAATTGACCTATGTCTTGTTCGTGCACTCGCCTACAGTGACCCATGTCCCATTTAATAAACGTGCCGTCCCTCCTCACGATACTTTTTCAAATCTTCAAAATATTTTCTCCACCACACAAAAATGTCGTCTTTCTCGGTTAATGCACTATTTCTACTTATTTTAGTGTACTCAAAATTCATCAATTTTAGAAGTCTAAATAAATTTGTTCTTGATATTGGTGGAATTGTATCATCATTATTAACAACAGTATATATTTTGTCGACTGTAGGGAAATGTTATTCAAACCAAAAGAAATGTACATGTCTACGTATCGCATTCAGGTGAAAATACTCAAAAGTATTTGAAAACGAGAGAAACATCCGTTTTTTACATGGCGAAGTAACTGTTTTATTATTATTATATTCGGCAATAGTTTTCGAAATGGTTTTCTCACCTATTCCCAGTTCTTTGGATATAATTTATCTATATTTTCGCATTGTATCTCCTGGAGTATGAACCAACTTTATCTTGTTTGAGTTTATTATCATTCATCTCTGACTGTAAGATACGCTCTAATACTACTAATATCACTAATTTAAATAAATTAATAAAATTTAAAAAAAAAAATTGAATTTCGTTATTCAATAAATCGAATTTTGAATTATTTACTTAATTTTCCACAAGGATTTTTTTTTTTGGTGGTGTTACAACTGCAGCAGCATTTTCGTCAGACATTACGTCAAAAAAAAAAAAAATAAGTAAACTGTTTTCAAAAAAATATTTTTAAAAAACCATAGCGTTTGTACGAGAAATTACGTGTACACTGTAAGGCAGTTAAAAAAAAAAATTGTATTGTACTTGGTTCGCTACGTGTGTTGTATAGCATTTGTATCGACGGCGGCAAGACAACCGCCAGGCGGTAGCAGTGGTGGAATCGATAGATCGGCGGATGAGTGGATGAAGCAGTACCGATACCAGGAATGGGGACGCATCCACGAAAACGGACGTATTTTCGTCCGCCACGCGGTGTACTTTTAATTGGAATAGAGTATAAGTGTAATGGCATGGCTAGGTAATTTTTGCAGAAGGTTAAAAAAGAAATTGTATACCAGGGGTGTCATTTGGGGGGGGGGAGTGCAGGATGTGTATTAACACCAAATGTTTTTAAAACTTTTTTTTTGGGCGGCTATATAAAATATAAGCGCTGATATACCTAAGTGTTTTATTATATCATATATTGAGTTAGTATTTAAGATTACGATGGAGGTGTAGGAAAATGGCAGCCGACCCCATATAATTGGCAAACAAGGTTAAAAAGAAGACATTGGGGGTATGTCACCACTTGATCACTTCTCCCAACAAAAAGGTATTCATAATTTTGGCTTGGTAGTGATTTGAAATGACCTGCAAAAATGTTCGGCACCAACAATGAAAAAATTGAAATGACACCCTTATTTAATACCAAAATCATAAAAAAAAAGAAAAGATAATTGCTTTAAAATAATCAAATTATTATGCTTTATATTGTATTACTCTTGTTGTGGGCTATAACCCAATATTGTGCCTCACCTTATATATTAACAGGGAATGAGACGTTACCCATAACATTCCAAATAGTCTTAAGTTCGTTTAATGTTTAATAATCTAAATCGTTTCATAATAACTACAGTACTTATTTTATATTTTTGAAATTGACATTTTCTGTATATTTATAAAATGTAATAGTTACCGTTTATTTTTTGATAGACATCGAGCATTTGTTTTATATTAGTAAATGTATTCTGGTCTGTGAAATGTTTAAATAATGTTGTCATGAATGGTTAAAGTAATTAAATACTTACACAAATCCATCATTCATTAAAAAATGAACCATTTATACTATGTATTTCTTAACAATAATTTACTAGAAATCATATTTTAATTTTATTGTAAAAATATACTTTAACAATATACATTTAGAGATATTTAGAAGTATTATGGTTATAAGAATTCTTAAGACTACGAAAAATAATATAAATATTGAAATATTTTTATCACTTACTATGTACAAATTTGAATAATTTGGTTATTGTAGACAAATATTTTTCTTTGGATTCTGATAATTAATATAATTATTCATTATATTACTTATTTATTTTTACTACATTCAATTATAAAATTTAAATACAATTTTCGTCAAACCAGCATATTATCATAAACTGTTTCAAAACCTCACTTAAATAAATAGAGACATTAAAATCGATTGTCAAAATCTACTTGAATCAGTTATGTAATAGATAATATTAAAATTAAATTACATTACCAACATTATTTGAAAATCTATGTATATTATAATTAACAAAATAACCAAAAACCAGGAATTATTAAGTGTTTGGTATACATTTCAAATACAAAGTAGAATCAAATTCAAATTTAATGCTATTAAAAACAGTCAAACACATGTAATGTAGTAAAGCATCCTTTTGCTACGCTCATAATATAATAACATACACCACATAAACAAAAATGAGTACCTATCAATATTTAAAATAGCATTTTTGGTTCAATAACCATCCTATATTATCTATATTTTTATAATACTTAATTGATTCCATCCAGTAAATTAATTAATGTATATGAATGCAACAATAATTATAATATGGTTTATCAAAATACAAAATTGCCTTTTGTACCTACTAATAAAATATTAATGAGTGGTCATAGTAGGAATATTGGCCATAGAAGTGGCGGTTTTACCTTATGATAAAAATATTATTTAAAGATACCCATATGACCCTAGTGTCCCCTCATTTGGTAACACTACTGAAGTATTATACATATTACAATAATAATAAATAATATTACTTGTCTATAAGTATAAATATGTACTTACCAATTAATTTTGTACCATTTACAGCATAATTTGTTTTATCAATAATTATTTCAAATTGTATGGTTTTCATTGTATATAATATACAAGCATCAAAAAAGTCAGCTGGAAAAATAAATATATTTTTATATCTTTGCATTTGTAAATTTTTTTCCACTAATTAAATTAATTTCTAATAGACATACGTTATTAACTCAGCCGATCTACCTTAACGAATTTTTTTCGGTGTTGAAATTTAGTAATTATTATAAAATACTGTAGGTATTATATTTACGCTATTATATTAGTATGGATTTGCACGATCAATATCAGAATTTCATAATTTTAAAACCATTCAAGGAAAGAACAATATTAAACCGGTTCTTTAAACCGAAAAAAATTAGATTAAAATGAAAACCATGGTTATTGATAAGGTAAGTCTTAAGATTAGTTTTACACTTTTACCAATCAGCAGCTACTACCGATGGTCAACAACATAATCGTTTGAAATATTTGTCACTTACGAATTTTCTTATAAATATTAAATGAATTTCTGATAAATTCCGCCGCCTTAATCATGTCCTGACAAATCCTATACAGACAAAATCCCGTCAAAAAAAAAAAAGCTAACAAAGAATTAAAACCAACTATAAAGTAAACGGATTTTTCTCAAAAATTTTCCCTTCAGTCTTTATTAGGCTTAGGACGGATAAATATTCATTGAACATACATTTGTACGTATCAATTAATTTAATATCACTTTACAGATAGACCCTGTTTTATCTGATATAACTTGGCTGTTGGTTTTAGATTTGTTCTTTTTTTTTGTATTTATTAGCAATTTGTCTATGAGAAATCATACACCAGTCAGAAAATGATAAGGGAATTATTTTTTTGAGTTTTGGAAATAATTCTATATGCTCGTAATTGTCTTAATAATTTGTCGAAACCGTAAGAAAACTGTGAAAATTTACGGAATTAACGGTTTTATTTTGCTTTCTGTAGTACCTAATTCGTTTAAATTTAGAAATCTGAAATTTTTTATATACTTATACTAGCCTTTTCTAAAAATGGTAATTTTTAAAAAAAATTTGAAGACTAGAGCTATTTGACATTTCGAATTTTTTTGTAGTTATTATGTGAATAACATTATTTAATCATACAGGCATTTTTGTAAATTTAACATGAGATTCATTCTAAGTTGTAAATAGCAGACGAAAAATCAAAGTTAAGTATAATGTAGCAGATTTTCTATAAGCTTTTTAAGATCATATTTTAACTAAAATAATAAAAATATTTCAAAACGTATATTCCTGAGCTTTGCTCAAAATCGTATTTCCTTAACAAAATGGTCTATCACACAGACATAAATTAAAAACTTTATGTATTCTATACCTTTTTAACTTCCGATATATGGAGTAGGAAAGGCTGTGGTTGATAGAATAAATTATATTACAGTACATGCCGCTTATAAGACTCGCTTTGGGACCAGCACAAAGCTAGTCTTATAACCGAATGAATCTTATAGGCGAAGTTGGAAAAAAAACAAAATATGTACATAATTATGAATTTTTTTACAACATATTTTGTTTTATTTTAATCTATTTAAATCCATGCATATTATATATTATTTATTATTTATTAGTGACTAAACAAAAAAAATATGATTAAAATATTACATACATATTAGTTAAAAATTATAAATGATGTATTTACATACTTATTATTTATGAAAAAAATTTGTAATTTGGTTTGTTTTGTTTGTTCTAATATTCCAGAAATATACTGTTTATACTCATATTTTATATCAAAATTATTACCTCGGTGATGAAGAGCTTTCCTTAACACTTATAGAACCTCTAGAACCTCTTTGTTTGATGGTGATTTAACCTCGTCCTCATCGTCATCACTTTCGTCATTTTTCTCTACTGATAATGGTCGATTCATTTGCGATAGACTGACAAATTTGATCCTCAGAATACTCTTCAGAAGTTTGAAGATCATTGTCGATATTCATCCAATCCACATGTGTTTTGTCAGTGAGTTCTTTCTGCGTCTCAATAGACCTGTCTTCCTCCTCTCTTCCTCTTCCTCAGTTTTTACGAAGCCTCCGTGACGAAAGAAATTTCGTATAGTCACATGATTTATATTGTTCCATGGTTCATTTGCTAAGTGTAAAGCTTCAAGAATGTTAATTTTCTTAGCTAGATCATTAGCCTTTAAAGTTGAAGTTGACTCATATTCAAGTGTTTTATCAAGGAGAGTGATTATCCTTTTCCTTATTTTTGATCTAAAGTAAGCTTTAAGCTTTAATTATTCTTTGATCACAAGGCTGAATTAGTATGTGTTATTAGCTAGTAAAAAAACCAATTTTATTTTCTTCAAATTTAAACTTACATTATGAGCCGTGTAGTTGTCTACCAAAAGCAAAATTTTTCTGCTTAGTTCGTTATCCCACTTGATCAACCACTGGCTAAAGATTTCTTGGGTCATCTATGCATTTTTATTTGCTGAATAATCCACAGGTAAAGCTTTAACTCTTTTGAAACAACGAGGCTGCTTACTCTTTCGCAGTTTCTCTTTTTCTCCCGTCATACTAGCACAACACATTAGCGTCATTCGTTCTTTACAAGTTTTTGTTCCTTTTGCTTTGTCATTTTTTAAAAACATGCGTATGTTCAGTTAGCGCTCTAAAGTATAAACCAGTTTCATTAGCATTAAACACATCAGAAGGTAAATATTCGGAGATCAGAAATGGCCATTCATTTTCTAGCCAAAAATGTGTGCCAACAAAATCTGCGTCACCTTGTTCTTCATGTGTTTTTTGGAAAGAAATATTTTCTCTTTTTTTCCACCGATGGAACCACCCATCTGTTGCCTTAAAATTAACTTTCCTTATTTTTTCTGCCAGTTCTTCAGCTTTTTGGCAAAGTAATGGGCCTGACACGCGAGCATCTTTATTTCTAACTTTTACGAACCATTCTTTCAAAGCGCGTTCAACAGTATCATCCTTTCCACACCTTTTCCTTTTTCGACTTTAAAACTTATTTTGTAATGCTTCACATTCAATGTCTTCCTATTTTTTAATATTCTACCCAATACCGATTGTGAAATGTTTAGCTTACTTATGCTTCACGTTGTCCCATCTTGGGAAGATGGTCGTACTTTTCTAAAATGCCTATTTTGTCACTCAAACTAAGAGCACGTCGAGTATTAGCACTCATGTTAACAAACAAAAAAGAATGTTGAAACTCGAATGACGACTGATTGACGATTGTACATTGAAACGATTATACCGACGACCTTATCAATTACGATACCTGTGCCGAGTAATCGGGAATGTACAATCGTATTTATAACTTATACAGTAATTACGATAAATGTGAAATGCCATAAAATTTGTTGATACACACATTATTAAGCATGAATCGAAATCAGTAATAATCTACAAAAATATGTAATTGTTAAAAACCAATTTATTTACAAATTTCAACCAAAAATTTTCATTTTCTACTATTTGTTTTTATAAAATGTGAGTCTTATAAACGAAGTGGTGAGTCTTATAACCGAATTGTGTTTAATGTATTTGGATACGTCTGGACCGTTCCAGAGGACTTTGAGTCTATTAAGCGACTGAACCTTATATCCGTGAGTTTTATAAGCGGCGTCCACTGTATAATGTTTTATTGTTTAATGTATTATAATATAATTACATGATTAACAATTTTTATTTATTTGACTAGTCTTATGTATTTTGAAAATTGATAAGAATGACTCCCCTCAGCACAAGCTTAGCTTACAAAGGGCACTGCAATATTTAAAAAACTAATTTAACCTAAAATGTTTTATTTTATAATATTGTTGAAAATATATTATTTTTAATATTATAAACATAAATTATTATGCATTTTGATTAAATTGTAATATTGACGTTATTATTGTTTATTGTATATTGACAGAATGCATTTGTAAAAATGTAAAATACCATAATATCATTATAACAGGGAAAAATTAAGCCTTATTATTTAGCTAGTTATAAAACTTTTAATATAAAACAAACAAAACTGTATAATAAAATATGTGTATTTTTTATCAAGTGAATTTTTGGTGTTTTTTAGTGCAATACACGCAATGAATTTACTAATTCTTTATAGCAACAAAAGCTGAACCCTAGTTATTATACTTACGTAGAAATACATTATCTTTTATTGGTTTCCTTGGTATTATTTTGAAAACTTCGATTAATGACAGATTTTTTTCCGGAAATAAATCTGTAAATAATTAAACAATATTTTATACTCAGTCCCGTGCAGACAATAATCTAACCGCGCGTTTAAAATAACCGATGTATCGATGTGGTATTAATAATGATTACATGTGAGAATTCAACAGTCAGAGCATTTTTTAAATTAGTGAACTAGATTACACAAATGTCGCCTAGTTGATTGTATGTTTAATGACTGGATGACATATAATAATTGTCTTAAGAAGAATTTTTAAATTGTATAGAAAAATGATTAAATAACAAATGATGAATAAATTTGTACTTCATTGTTAAAATATGGATACCTATTCGATATTATTAAATATAAAATGTATTAATTATTATAGAATATGAGTAATTATTTATATGTGTTCCCTAATTCATCTGTGATAGCATTGGTGGCATTAGTGTTGTTTCTTTTTAAATTCGAAAATCTCTGATGGCATCACTCACCGTATTTCCGAATTAGTTTATGAGATGTGCAAGTGGACTAGAAGTTTTTGTTATCTCATTTTTTTTTTTTATAACGATAGCTGCTAACAGTCATAATATTTAATTATTATTACTATAGATTTAGGTTTCATGATAACATTGTTTAAAACATGGACTAAGATATACAGGACTGGACACGAACAAGGTTGGAAGGTGTAGAGGGTTGACCAAGAAATGTTATAGAACGGGTGGAGTACGAGGTAATTTCATGAATAGTAAAAGTATGGATAGGATACGCCTAAAGTACTACAGAAGCAGGTATGTATATCCGCTATTTTGTTTGCAAAAGATTATAAGATAACCCATTATCATATCTTGTTATTATGAGAATCATAAGCATTACGTATAATTGTAATTAGTATAAATGTAATCATTATTTCAGTTAATTCTTAGGTTATTACTTAAAACCAATTGTTATTTATTTAATATAAAAATATTTTAGTATAATTTAGTCTATGTTTGAATGCTTCATATTACCATTGGTTATAAATGCTAGTATTTTTGATACCTAATTAAAGAACATAAAAGTACCTAACTCATTTATACAACAACCTGCATTGTATATATTTTGGCTCGTTTGTCTACATCTGATGATCCAATGCAAGTTACAGAAAATAAAACAGTTGCTACTAATGAAAATATATAAGATATATATATGAGTATTATAAGCATAATATAAGGTTAATATATATATAGGTTTTTTAAACTTGGTATATAATTAAAAAAAGGTATTTTAGAGGAGCCATTGTCGAAAAAAGAGCTAATTTTATTGCAGAAATGTGTTTACAGATTCTAAATTTGAATTGTTTGTATCTTTTAAAGTATGAGAAAGTAAGTAAGAAAGTAAGGATCAAAACAAATCCAAGTTTAGTTTTGTCAGGGATTTATAGTAAATAAAAATTAAAACTTTTTAAGCCATATTATAATACTCGTAATATTTAATAATTTCTTAATCATTAAAATAGGAGAGAAATTCTTTCCTATCTCCCTCGTCCAAAAACAGGTCATCAAGTTGCACTTCTTTTGGCTTCATTACAAAACTGCCTATCATATTGTACAAACATATCGGTAAACTCAAAGCGAAGAAGTTTATAGAAAATTATACGTGATTATAAAAAGTTATAGAAGCCATTGATACCAATACTATCAAAGCATTATACAGAAAACGGGAAAATGGGTATGTAGGTTTCAATATGTAAAATATCGGTTGAAAGTGTTTACCAATTAATGCTAATTTTATATTTGACTAGTGTTTATTATACGTTATAAAAGCATACTTTAAATTATATATATCTGTATAATTATTTATATTTGTATAAATGTATAATCTAATAATATTATCTATTAGAATTGTCTTAATAATATTTTGTATGTATATATATATAAAAAAAAAAATGACAAACATACTTCATAAGAAGTAAGTATCTCAACGCCGATAAAAACATGACAAAAACAGAATTAACAGAATCATTAACGGTCTTAAAAAAATTTTGTCGAACATCGTGTGACCCACATAAAGGTCTCATGGTAGTCAAACTGTTAAATCAACAATACATACATTTTCAAAACAAAAAAAAAAAATTGCACAAAATGAATGAACCAGTGTCTAGTAACTAGATTTGTTCCACATAATATTTTATTTAAAATGATTTTTGACAAAATTTGATGTTACAATTCTTATAAAAAAAATTCTACATTGTATTTAATTTTTTTTCACCATTAAATACGAATTTTAATAAACCTTCTGTTAAATTTTCAAGCATTTTTCTTAAGTTTAACAATTTCGTCCACAAATAGTACTTACCAAGTTCGCCACGATGCTACTAAAGAAGACGTGATTTAGAAATATGAAGCTATACTCCAAATCCCAGATATATTACTCAATTTTGTAATTAACACGGTATGTACGTGAGAAAATATTTTGTATTCATGTCTCCCATTATTAATTATTTTTTAGTTCGTTTTATAAGCTTATTATATAGTATTTAACATTTGTTTTTTATTTTTAAAATGTTTAACCACACTGGCCAACACAATGGTACCTATGATAATATGAAAACTGCAGTAAAATAATATCAAAATATTAAGATATTATATACTTACATTATACATTTTAAAACCAATTAAATAATTATTAATTATAAAAAAATATTTTTAAAATGCATATAATTCTATTCATTTTATTTTCATAAATGTAATTAGAAATTATTAACGATTCTAAAATTCAAAGAGAATGGGGAAAGATTTTTTTTATTTCGGGAAAAGTTGTTATCGTATTACCATAAAGTTGTTTTGTTAGCAGCACATAAATTAAAAATAATGTCCAACAAATTCGGTGAGTGATTCAACAATGTCCAACAATTTACAAACCAATGCATTGGATAGGTATATTTGTTATGATTGTGTTGCTAAATTTATGAGAGTCAAAATTTTACTACAATTTCACATTAATTTACACAAAAGAATATTTAGTTGTGGTACCAAAAATAATGAATGTAGTTACTACTAGAGAAAATACAAGTAGTAAATTGTAATAAATTGTAGCAAATATGTAATATACTTACTTTTACAATTCGTGTAATCAAAAATGATGTTAACTATTGTAATTATTATAACTACACGTTTATTAGAAGAAATCATGTTAACTTTTAAACAGCAACCGTATTGAGTGAATAATATAAAAAATAATAGACAGATGAAGAAACCATGTAGATACGTACCTATTTGTGTAAAAAAACATTGTAGCTGTTTATTCAGTTGCGAGTGCATAGGAGTTCGGATAAGTTAAATTTAAAAACAGAGGTTCTCAAACTTTTTTTACATGCATTACACATATATATTATGGGTCTGTTAAGTATCATTTATGACTATAAATTAAATACTCAAAATTTCAAATAATAAGATAGTAAAATACTACAAAATAATTATTAAACATTTTTTTTTCATTTTTAAACAAAAATATTATTAACCATAAAATAGAATTAGAGATGTTAAAAACATTAATTTTTATTTTCCATACTACCACCGCGTGGCCTTTTATGTACCATGGCTATGGTTACGGCTACGCCACATTGGAAACAGATTTGATTTTTTCCGATTCATACTGACAGACAGACAGTCCGACAAATCGGAATAAAAACAAAACTATGTATATTAACGGTAGTGGCTATATTTATGCGGGCTCTCCAACATACCAACTAGTTGGATTTGTCTGTTCAAAAAAACAGATTTATTTGTTTTGTATCCCGTAGAGTTGGACAAAATATTCGTTAAACTTATCAAGGTATATGCTCGATATCGGTATCTCACCTTTCCCACTATCCACCTACAACAGTGGCCGCACCCGTCCCCAGTATTAGCTCTTTTTATTATTATACCTTTGTTTTTTTTTTTTTTTCTTTTAATTTGAAACGAATAAAAACTTGTTCATTTTTAAATAAGGAACGACGAATTGATGTTTTTTTTCTT